CACACTGCACCTGCCAGCTTCATAATCTAATTATGCATCCATAAAACAAGCAGGATGCTAAAGCATTAATGATTACTGGATTAATCACTTAGTAGACTGACACTAAAAAAGCAATCGCTTTTGTGGAATTCATTCACTAAACCAAAATCTTTGTATTTGACTTTCAGCGTGCTAAAAATGGAATTTCATTACTTTTCAACATTTTCTGACCTTGAACAAACTCTTATTTAAAAAAGCTCGTTAACGTCCTTCAGAGAACCACAAACCTCCCTGTACTCTAAAAACAACAGAAAATAAAGGATTAAACCACATTCGTGACATAACTGTGGAGTGATTATAAACCAGGAGCTTGGTTCTCTGTGACGACATCGCAGGAGTTTAAAGAAAGAAAAGGGAAACTTCTTCTAAAAGAACACAAACCTCATGGAAATCCTCTCTAAAAACAAAACAAAAGAAAACATGAAATAATCAATATTTTATTCACAGTGTGGAAGAAATTGTTGCATTTTACATTTTTTACTTTTTTTTGTCAAAGATATTTTTACTTTACATTAAAAAATGTTCATTAATATTCAGCAGGATCTCACATTTCAAACATTACTTTATGGTAATAGGTGACATTTTTTACACAGTAAAACCCAACACATTGTTCTGAAAAAGGCATCTGACTGGGGCCTGTCGTCGCCGATGAGAGATTTCCCCCTGAAAACCTCGACTGTGGTTTTAATTAAATGACTGTAATTATCCCACATTTCACAACAAAATGAAGCAAAATTTGTGAAGCACTTTTTTTTACAGCATTAACCATCTGACGACCACTCAGATTCATCTGTGACCTTTCAAAACGCTGTGCATAATAAATCAAACTTATTTCTTACGTTTTATATTTTACCTTCACAGACTTACATTTATTTAATGCAGGATTTCATCTGTTTTCTAAGTCTGTTTTTTTTTTTATTCCAAGCATAAATGTGAGAAAATAATGAACATTTAGTTTTAACTACACAGATAATAAATCATGTGGATTATTACGGATAAACTGCTATTTTAAAAGCCAAAGGAAATATTATAGGATCGTTGTTTGAAACATTATTTAGCAGAATGAAGAAGTGAACACCCAATTAATTAGTTACGTGTAACAAACACCTTTCAGCTTAATTAACTCACCATAAAAATCACTTAACAGCAGCAAAGATACACTAAATCTCTGCACAGCACTGCAGGGATTTCAATGTTAGAGTACAACACGCAGACCCATTTATTGGTAATAAACTGATCTGCATCACTGGTAATATATACATCATTTAAGTCCCTGTAGGAATTAAATTTAAAGGAATAAACCTACATTAGCTGGAATCTAAATAATAGAGCAGAGAACATGAGTATTGTGACACTAGATGACCTCTCAGTGCATTTAAATGCTTTATATTGATGCATTCAAAGTCCCCGTGGGAATATTATCATATAACATTTTCAAAAGGCCTCTTTGGGTGAAGATTACATCAGTAAACAATAAAATAGATCCACTGTACATACAAAGAGCACCAGAGGCCTGTTGTATAATAATTATATCACAATTCCCGTCTTATACTAAAGAGTTAAAGAAACGCTGCTTTTAAAATTTGCTATGTCATTGAGATAGCATAGAATCACTAAACAAGTAAATAATGGTCCCTATTATTTGTAACTGACCCCATCAGTATAATTACTTGTAAAACTCACTATAAAAGGAATTCAGTTTAAAGACTAAAAACACTTTTGAGCCATAATGAATTACAAAATAAACTCATTGCAAATCCTACATTAGAGAACATAAGTATGGCGATGTTAGAGGCTGACCTTTCTGGGAATTTAAACATATCACAAATATCCTTGGACACATTAAATGTCCCTGTGGGAATATACTTTTACAAAGCCTCTTAGGAAATATTAAAGTCAAGAAACACCAAATTGGACACATGAGAAACCTGAGTACCAGAGGCTTGTAACTTTACTACAACATCACGGTCTATGTAGACTCATAGGGCGTAAACTATTACTATTAATTTAATTTTGTATTTAAAAGAAAAGGTTTTCATATAAAGTAATTAAAGTAGACTCACCAAGAGTCTGCACATACTGCAATGATTATATATCTAACAACAAGTAATTGGAGGATTTTAAAATATCTAACAGACATACATGTATCACGTGCTTAAACACATCATAAAGAGCCACAGACACAATTAAAGTCCATGCGGGAGTAATGAAAGTGTCTCTGAAGAGACCATAAAGTCAATGCCCACAAAATCAGGCGGGATGAGTGGAATAAGTAGAGCTCAGAGGCCTGAATGCTTTGGTGAAATCCCAGGAAATACATGTTAGGTCATGTAAAATTAAATAAATAGCGAGACAAAAGGAGTCAGACACTTGCAATGATATAAACATTTTAAAATATTAGCGTGTAATATTTTAAAGCCTTTTATTTTTTCTCTTTTTTCACTTGAAGATCATTAAAGTGGCTCAGAGTCACTAAAACTACAGTACTGCAGTGATTATAACGGACAGGAAAGGAGCCTTGACCATAAGAATCTGATAGTACCAAGTTGACCTTAAACGCATCATAAAAGGTCTCAGACTTATTCAGAGTTTCAGCGATGAAAAAAACAACCAAAGATTAAAAATAAAAAACAAAAAAAACTGCTTTAGGAAATAATAAAGTGAGTAAAACCTAAAACAGATTAATTATATATGACCAGCCAAAGCACTCAAGGTCTGTATGTGACAAGTTTTAACTATTATTAAGATGGTGTGATAGTTTTTTCCCCTAAAGTCATTAAAGGAGCATTAGATCACTATCAATGCATAAATACATTAACACATAACTTTACTGTAGTGATGTCATATTAGAGGACTATCGCTCATTAATAATAGTTATAGCGATAACGTCTCTCGTTATAAAACGTTACAGGGGCTGGAAACATCTGTAGACACCATCAGCCCACTGCAGAGCCCCAACTCCTCAAAGTAGAACCTTGTTTCAGGTGGTTCCGGTGCTTCTGCACCCGCCGGGCTACCTCACTTACCGTCAGCAGTAGTTCTGAGCCCGGAGGAAGCTCCGGGTCCCGGCCTCGGTCCTGGCCCGGCTGTTTCCCGATCCCTCCTGCAACAGGGAAGACTCGATCTGTGAAAACTCCAAAGAGGACGTGGCGTGACGTGGTGCTGCAGGTCAGCAGGTGATTGGCTCCTCGGACTGTTTACAGGATGGCTGAAGGTGCACGTTTAAAGGTGGATTGTTTTCGGTCAGTGAGAACATTAAAGAGGTTTAAGATCAGGAGAAAAGTCTGGATATCCTCGCAGCTCTGACGAGAAAAAGTAGAATTAAAATGAAGGTCAGAGCTTCAGCTTCAGTCTTACTTCTACTGGAAAAAGAATTGAAAATCATCCAAAGCATTAATCTGGATGTAAAAATATATATTTTTTTTATTTGGGTCATTTCTTCTTCTTCGGCTCACACGCATGTAGCTCCATTTCATGTTAGCGTTTTTCCTAAATAAATTACAAAAAGCGCCAAAAGCTTCTCTGTAGTCTCATTTCTCTCATTGATAATTCTAATCTTAAATATTTAATCTTAAACTCTTTGAAACTTTCATTGGGATGTATTCTGTCATAAAAAAAGATAAACAAGCAAACCTGCAAATTGAGCAAATAAAACAATAATTGGATAAATTATTTACATGCAAAGACTGTTTGATTAAAGACAGTGAAACAAAGATTTTTACATCATAAACACTTGACAATAAATACAGTCTGAATAATTATGATTTTGGTTGATTTAATAGCTTCTTAATGTTCGTTTATAGGAGAAATTACACATAAAAAAGAAATCCAGAAACAAAAGTTTAGCTCGGTTTATTTTTGTGAACTTTTGTAACGCGCAGAGTGAACAAAGGGAGCAGATTAGCTCGTGCGCAAAATTCATGTAGAGAGCGGGAAATATACGGGATTAAAACACGCGCAGATTAAACTCGCAGTCAGATTAAAGCTGTGGTTTGAACACGAAGCGGTAACCGCGCGTGGAAGTGTCACCGACTCTCAGATCCACTCGCGCGTAACTGGAAGATGAAACTGAGATAATAGACCTGCGCACTGTTGCTCGCGCGCAATAACAGAAGACAACCGCAAAAGAGCTGCAGGTGTCACACGTTGAGGGGTAGGGGGGTGGGGGGGATGGGGCACATTTATGGTCACTTTAAATGAAAAAACATCAAATTCAGTTCCAATAAAGAGCGATCCGAAGGAAAGCCGCTGTGAGAACTCGGACAAGTGGCCGCTCTTTTTCTTCTTCTCTTCCGGGTAAATATGTGCCGTGGTAAATCAGGTGATGATTTTGATGTTTGGAGGAATTTGGGCTTTGACTCTGTCCAGCCTGGGAAACAGAATCCGCAGCAGCAGCAGGTCTGAACCATTTTCTCTGCTTACCTCTAATGTCAATTACCATTGTTGGCTGCTGTGTCCGCGTCGCTCCGCCCCTCCATGTGGGTCCAGCGGGATAAGGGCAACTGGTCTCCTCCTGCTGCCGATCAGCTGGACTTTTTCCCAGCGACACAGAGGAAGCAAGAAGCCGGTGGGAGGGAGGGGGACGCAGGCAGAGAGCCGCCAGAGAGAACCGAGCACATCCAGCCGCACGCAGCAGGAGGGCACGGGGTGGCCGCACCATGTCCTTGAGCCCAAAGCACTCAACTCCCTTCTCAGTCACAGACATCTTGAGCCCGATGGAGGACAGCTACCGCAGGTTCGGAGTGATGGACCCCGCAGCGGGGAGCCTCGGATCCCCGCTGGGAGCCTACCGGCAGCCGCAGGTCTCGCAGCCCGGTATGCAGCATCAGCAGCAGGCGCACCATCAGCAGCAGCCGCCTCACCTCCACCACCATCACCATCATCACCACCACCACCACCTGTCCTCGTCCTCTTCTTCATCCTCCTCCTCCTCTTCATCAGGCTCGGCCAGCGCAGCAGCAGCAGCCGCTCTGGCTCCCGGCGGGCCCTACCACATGCCCCACGGGGTACCGCAGTTCTCCGGAGCCGTCGGAGGGTTCTGCAACGGCGGCATCGGGAACGTCGGAGACCTGCCGTCCTACCAGGAGACGGTGAGAGGCGGAGGGGCGGCAGCGGCGGCGTGGTACAGCAACCCGGAGCCCCGATACCCGACAAGTAAGAGCGTCCCCGGCCCGGAGAGGCGAGCCTGAGTTAGACTGAAGCGATTGTTAGAGTTAAGTCACTTTATTATTATTAGACATGTAAAAATAATCCGGCTTCCTCTTCCAAACGATATGAAGGATTTAAAAAGATTTATGTTTTATTAAACGTTTGTTTGTTGCTCCTAAACAAATTGAATCCGGATTAACTGCATTTTAATGCCTTTAAATTAACGTCAACATGTTTGATCTTTTAAAGTAAACTCACTGATTTATCCCATTAGACTCTCGCACCTGTCGGTCTGGTTTAAAAGATTAAAATCTTACAATATGATTCATTATTGAAGAAGAAGAACAACAACAAACTTTTCCTATTTTTACAGAAGACTTTGGGGTAATTTAACATTTTAAATTTTTTTTCTACCGTTTTCACTTTTCCTCTCTAAACGAGTTTAGTTAATTATTATTATTCTTTCTTTTTAAAGCCAAACTCTGATTGTGATTTCTCAAAGTTTCCAGATTCATGGGCCCCTCCGCGGGGATGAACATGCCCGGGATGGTGGGCAGTATGGCCGGGATGGACTCCACCGCCAAGTCTATGGTGACGCTGCACGCGGCACCGCGCAGGAAGCGACGCGTGCTCTTCTCGCAGGCGCAGGTGTACGAGCTGGAGCGGCGCTTTAAGCAGCAGAAGTACCTGTCCGCCCCGGAGAGAGAGCATCTGGCCGGACTCATCCACCTCACCCCGAACCAGGTGAAGATCTGGTTCCAGAACCACCGCTATAAGCTGAAGCGGCAGGCCAAGGACAAGGCCGCGCAACAGCTCCAGCAGGAAGGCGGCGGAGGAGGCGGCGGCGGCGGCTTGTGCGGAGCAACACGCAGGGCTTCGTCTGTGTCCCCGGTCCTCTCCAAGAACTCTAAGGGCTGCCGGACCGACTCGAGTGGGTCGAACCACAGCGGGAACAGGCAGAGCAGCGTGGGGGATGCCATGGCGGAGAGCGCGCAGCAGCCGCAGGTGAACCAGCTGTCCTCCACCGAGGAGCTGGAGGATTTGTCCCCCAGCCCGCCGCTGGGACTGCACGGGCAGATCAACATGACGCAGACGGACGCGGCGCTTATTGAGTACACCAACAGCATGATCGGCTCCAACTTACTGTACGGCAGAACTTGGTAGTGATGCCGAGAGGAGGGCATCATTCCGAGTGGAGTTTTCTGCAGGCACGCGCCAATCTTTTTGTTTTCCTTCCGTGCGTAAAGGTTCGGCTCCTTCTGCACACGCAGTGACTCAAAGGCTGCTTTGAGCAATAAAAAGTGCACAACTCAAACTGTAAATTCGAGCCTCGGGCTCGCGCTGACTCTTGATGATGGCGCGTTTTCTTCTCCCGTTTCTAAACGAAACATTTAAGTCTTTTCTCTCTCTTTTTTGTATTTGCCAGACGTGACTGAGACTGAACGCAGAGAAACTTTAATTTAAGGAGCTTCAGGATGAGGCACAGCTTCCGGCGCCTCTCACATGTTTTTTTTTTTTCATTTCCAGAACAAATTAAATTATTGCAGGTTCAACAAAGTGGAGCAATAGAAGCAGCTCATAAAGACAAATACCGAACTGAGGCACGTCATCAGAGATCCTTTGTTAAAGCTGATTTTCGTTTGTTTACAGTATTGAATAAATCATATTTTCATTTTGGACCTTTTTATTTTTCTAACGCATTTCCATCAATACAGCTATAATTACCAACAGGACAGCATTTACTTGGACATGGAGCGGATTTCTATCAAATGTCCACCTTTAAATATCCCAAAATATTCACCAAAAAATCTAGGACAGTTATGTTTTTTTAAACAACTGACTTTACCTTCAATATTTAAACTAAATTTAAATGGGTTTATTTATTATTTTTAACTCGTGAAAAAAGGGATTTCTGCTCAGACAAATATACCAACATCACTGAGAAGAATTTATTTTCATTTTTGAAATACATGAGCCAAGTTGGAGAGGTTCCTCTCAAAAATAATCACAGCGGGACACTTTGTCCTTCACTCACTTGTATTTTACAAGTTTAAGAGGCTTCATCATAAAAATCAGAGATTACATAACACACTTTTTCCCCCCCCAAAGTAGTACAATAAAGGAAAAAAAATCCTTGTACAAGACAATAATATGAAATGTGGACAAAAAAAAAAAAAAGCTAGATGTTGACATTGTTCCCCTAAAAACAGTTCCCCATTCCATAAAATCCCAACATCATTAAGAGTTTAGTTCCAGTTGTATCTTCTGGATGGAGGAGGGAGAGGGTAACCTCTGCCGGAGCTGTAGCCCTGAAATAGAGACAGAGGTTTAAAGTAAGATTACAGCTTTACAACAATAAATATGGATCAGGTCAAAGGAATAACTTTAACTTTAACAAGCACAACACTATTAAAACAGTATTAAAAGATTTAAGTAAGTAAAATGTATTCACAGAACACGTTTCACTGGTAAATATCCCAAAGTGCTTCACAATAAAAATATAGCATATAATAGAACAACATAAAAACTGGTTAATACAAAGATTTTCTCTGTAAAAACTTAATTGTTTTTTGTTTGTATTAAAACAGTCTACATGCTGGATGGTCAGATTTTTTTTAAGTTATTGATATAAAGACAAGATGACACTGAGGGTTTTATTCTAAATTAGTCCACCCATTTAGCACGAGCAGTGCAAGTCTTGGCCACAAGCTTAAGAATTTAAACATCTGTCACATTTTTTCTTGTTTTACTAAACGCTAAAATCAAATGAAATGAAATCTCACTGAAATAATTTTTAACTGAGGAAATAATTTAGATTAACACGGACTTTTAAAATAAAGTCTTCCTGTTTAAAAAATAACAAAAATAAATCCAAAACTTTCAATAAGTAAACTAAGCACACTTGTTGGAATGTGTGTGATCTGATATTTTAACACATCAGACCCACAGATAAACTGAGCAAAAAAAATTTCTTTACTTTTCCAAATTTTACACACTGAACTTTCTCTGGCTCTAGTTTTAAAAGAACGCCAGAAAACCCGGCAGTCTCCTCCTTTCAGAATAAAAGCGTGCTGACATGAATAAAACTATTATACTGTAAAACAACTCTTTACTGAAACTATTTAAAGTTTCCGGTTAGAATTTCTATCAAACTCTGTTGGCCAATCAGAGGAGAGTTGCTTAAGTGTTCACTTAAAATGCTACAGAAAGAAACTTTTATTGTCTGATAAGAAGTTAAGAAGATAAGAAGATAAGAAGTTATCAAAACAGAAATTTTGAAATTTCTGATTTGGTTAAATTCTGATCAGTTAATCCGAATGATTAATATTTCTAGAAAAAAAATAATTTCACTCTATAAAATTAAGCATTTTGATAATTTCTTAATTCTTTAAGTTTCAGCTTCTCATAAATTCATATTGAGTTTTTATGTTTTGTCTGTTGATATTTGAGTGTTTCTGGGTTTTACAGTTCACACAGTACTTTCTTTCAAAACACTGAATCAGGCACCAAAACACCTCCAACAGTAATTTGAAGTATTTCAAAATTCAAAAATCTATAATTAAAATTAAAATACTTAAAAATGTTATAAAAATTATAATTAAATATTTTACAAAAAACCTTAAAAAACAAAACAAAAAACAGACCCCAAAAAGCAAAAAGATTCCTGATTTCAATCTGAAGCAACTGAGCAACAACCAATCAGACTCTTTCTTCTGCATCTGCTTCACAGATTTGCCCAGAAACAGTTTAAGCCTCACTTTAACTTTACAAAATAAAAACAAGCCAAAATCAAGTGAAGATGGACGTTTTAGCCCTGCTCTCCACTTGTCATAAACAAATTTGTGTGCGTGAAAACGTCACATTTACCTGATGGTGCTGCCCCCGGTTGTCTCTGCGATCGTGCCAGTCGTCTCTACGGCGATCGTAGTGCTGCTGCTGCTGCTGCTGCTGCTGCTGCTGCTGCTGGTAGGCGCCCGGGCCCGAGCCTCCGCCACGGTTCCAGTTTTGCTGATATGCCGACTGCTGCGTCTGCATGGCCCGATCCCAGCCATGACCCCCGCCCCTGTACTGCTGCTGCTGCCTGGAGACACGTCAAATCTGCACGTCAAACTTTTAAAGCTCCAACACAATGAGTAAGAGACACCTGAGGTTAAAAATACTTTCCCACAGGTAACAATAAGGACTCCTTTAAAAACACAGATGCACCGATAAACCAAATATCTGCCTCTAGCCAGTGTTGGAGGGCAGAAATATTCACCTGACGGTTTAATTACATTTGTTTAAAAAGTTTAAAAATGACGTGAAAGAGATGGAAAACTTTCAAGTGTTCAGTTTTTTTGTTATAATGAAGAGTAATTTATTTTACTGACACTGTAAAAAAAATACAATTACACAAGAACTAAAACAGAATGTTTGGCATGAGAAGATGACATTTAATCACAATTTAAAAATCACCAATATCATGATCAGTGCATCCCTATTAACACATTTTATATCATTTTTGTTTAATAAGACATAATAGTTTTTTTTCCTAATTTGGACATAAAGGAAAGAATATAATAATAATAACAATAATAACAAGAATTACAATAATAACAACAATAACAATAATAAGTTTTTCTTAAAACTTTAAAATTTTGACTACAGTGAACAAACACTCCACTTCCTTATTTGTAAGATCTTCATTAATCAAGTTTCATAGCAGAAATTGTTCTTTTTCGGCACCTTCAGCAGAACATTTGTAACATTTCCCTGTATATTAAATACCCCAAACTTCAATATTATAGTAACGTCACACAAAAGAATTTGAACTCATTAACTAGACAAGAATAAGCAATCATAACCAATTAAACAGACTCATTTTCATTTTTTCTTTCCTTTCTTGGGGCTTTTAAACACATTATGTTTTTTGTTTTTACATAACAAAAAAAAGCAGTAAACGTAATATTTAAATACCCTTTAATACCACATTAAATTAAATTTACGACCAAAGTTGTGTGATTGACATAAACGAAAATATACTATTTTATTATAGTATTTACACTCAAGATGTGCTGTGTTTAAAGTACTTTTAAGAATTATTATTAATTTTTTTACATGAGCTTCAACCACTGGGTTTTATATCATATTAACAAAACAGCCTAAAATCACGAGTTAAATTAAAAAAGAATCCACAGAATTATTACGACTTATTTTCAGGTGTTCGGCTGATAGCCGTCCACTTACGCTCACTAATTACAGCAGTCTAAAATCAGTCACCGCTGTATGTGCACTGGGTTAACACAGACTCTAATTTCCTGCTGGTTTGGCCTCCTGAATCAGAGCGCCGAGCCGTCCTGTTCCATAAATAGCTGAATGATGCAGTGGCTTTACAATTTACAAAAGTGTGGAGGGAGTAAAAGCAGCATTGCTGTGGGCTTCAAATTCTGAAAAAACCTTCTGAACAGTTTAAAACCTTTTATTAGTAAACGTGTATTTGTGTGAACCTGCAGACAAAAAGACGAGAAGCAGGACATTTTAGTCCATTTTTCACTTACTGATCGAGAACCTGTTTTATCTGCACATTGTTTGATTAAAGCAATAAATGAAAACCACAAAAGGACAACCTGTGTATTCTTTGCAGCAGTCTGAATCTTTTATTCATTAAAATGAGGAGAAAAAAATAATTTGGCTTTGACCAACTTCATAAACTTAAGAAGTTAAGATTAATTCATGTTTGGAGAATTTCCACCCGACTGATCCAAAAAGTCAGTTTCCAATTCTGCTTTGAAGTGGCCTCCTTAAAATCCCCATCGACTCGAGTTTACCGAGGGATCGAGCTGTCAAAGAGTCAAAACGGCCTCTCCTCAGAGACGACTTAGCATCGATGCACATGAAATGAAATGAACCATATTCCCATATGGCCCGAGTCGCCCTCACTCCGGAATTGAGGCGGCCGCGCTGCGTCTGTGGGACCGAGTGCAGAGCCAGTACGCTGCGGCCCTCCAAACGGCCACCGGACAATGTGCCGATCCAGCGGCGATATTAAAGTCTCTTCTGAGGAACAATGAAGAGAGCAGAAACAGAGCGGCAGCCCCATCCCTCATTACTGAACCATGTCACACTCTGGCCAGCGGCGGACTTAACCGAGCGCTGGAATCCATAATCCCCTCTCTCCAAGTTCCTCCTGCATTTCATTTGGTCCTGTCCTGAGTAGTTAAAGAAACTGTTTTCAGTCGCCGCTAATAACTACTGACCTGAGGTGACACGGAGCCACAATAGGCCTGAAAAGTTGAACGAGAGAACCTGATTAGGACTTTGGAGAGGTCTGGAGCCAGAATCAATAGCCAGTCTGTGCGGGCCAGGCCGAGGTGCAGGGAAACGCCGCGGTCGCCAACAGCATTAGTGATGCCTCATTAAGTTGCACAAACCTCCTCGAGAGAAATTTGTTTTAGAGCGACAAGAAAAAATCTTAATTCGGACGGAGCCCCCCAACGGAGGGAAGGCAGAGCGGAAAGGCTGGAAATGTGGAGACCACACAGGCCTGGGCATGTTTAATTCACACATGACTCACACCAATAAAACACACAAATCTGAGGAACATTAGAGACGAGTGGAGGACAAAGTCCAGGA